AAACTTTGGGAATAGTCAGTTTCAGAAAATAGTGAAGTTATCACAAACTTTCAGACGTGGTTGTCCCTGGGAATAGTTAGTTTCAGAAAATAGTGAAGTTATCACAAACTTTCAGACGTGGTTGAAACTTTGGGAATAGTCAGTTTCAGAAAATAGTGAAGTTATCACAAACTTTCAGACGTGGTTGTCCCTGGGAATAGTTAGTTTCAGAAAATAGTGAAGTTATCACAAACTTTCAGACGTGGTTGTCCCTGGGAATAGTCAGTTTCAGAAAATAGTGAAGTTATCACAAACTTTCAGATGTGGTTGTCCCTGGGAATAGTTAGTTTCAGAAAATGGTGCAGTTATCACAAACTTTCAGACGTGGTTGTCATTTTCGCAATTAAAGTTTCTTTTCCTAGCCTAGTAGAATTATTCCTAAAATTGAGAAAAACAACATATAGTTAGCATTCTACCTTTTGAAAATTAGTGGTAAGTGAGTCAGTTATTAGACATATAAGATCTCGTGAAGACTTTGTATAATTAGTGCAAATTTTTTAACGAATATTTTTGTTTTTAATTCGGATGTTAAGGCTTATTTAATACATGAAATATAAACACGTTTCATAACTTTCGTAAAGTTAGATACATTTCTACATGAGTTTAAAAATATTGCCTTCCAGGTGGGTCATCGTTAGGTGGCTTAAAACAGATTGCCCGTTGAGTAGCTTTGTGCTTATTAACAAACCCTTCACTAAAACATAACCTAAAGTATAGATCCAGGAAGAACAGAGGTAAGCTTGCAGACTTATAATGCTAAAAGTGGGTTCAATTCCCCGCGCTAAACAAAGTTCAGATAGCTCATTTTGTGGACTAGAGAAATAACAATTTATTTTATTAGTTTTATGGTTTATAAAATTAAAACTGGTGAATCGTGTGTTATTTTGTGGGTAATAAGTTTGACTGTTTTTAAGCAAAAAAATTATACATTTGGCTATCTGTACTCTGTCCACAGCAAGGAATGAACCTTGAGTTTTAGCATTATAAACCTTCAAGCTTATCACTGAGTTGGTCACAGTAAGATGGATTGGTTCAAAAACTAATTTAATTTGAATTTTAATACACGACAACATTTCAAACACATCTGTATTACAACAATAAGTATAGATTGTGTAATTTGCATAATTAATTTTTTGTTTACTTTGACGACATTACAAAAAAAAACAGTTTAACAATGTAGAACTTAAATCATCAAGTTAAACTTTTCTCTATTAGTTATATTATTTGTCTAGAGGTTAGCAAAATCATGTGTAACTAAATATGTGAGAGTTCTTCGTTATGATATTTCATTTTTAGTTTTAAATAGAGAACTAGTCATAGAAATCTACTCTTGTACCATTCACCATCACTATTCATCTTTATATACTTCAGAAACTGTATTGAATATTTAATTATGAACTTAACTGTACCCACCATTTCTGATGTCGCCATATCCTCTTCCATTGTTACTATTGTGTTCTTTACCTCCTCCTCCAATATGTCTTCCTATTCCTCTTGCTCCTCCAAACTGATTATTGCCATATTCCGCAGCTCCTCCACTATGAAAATCTCTATTTCTCCCTTCTCTAATGTTGTTAACACCGTAATCACCTCCTTCTCTAATGTTATGACCGGTATAATCCACAAGTGCACTGTTATAGCCACCAGTTTCTCTTCCCCCTCCAAGATTGTAACCTCCATATCCTCTTCCTCCAATATTATTACTTCCATATGCTCCTCCTCTAATATTATTACCTCCATATGCTTCTCCTCCAACATTATTACCTTCATATGCTCCTCCCCCAATGTTATTTCCTCGATATACTCCTCCTAAAATTATTACCCCCACTAAACCCCTTCAAAGTTATTATCTCCATATGCTCCTCCTCCAACATTATTATTTCCATATGCTCCTCCTCTAATATTATTACCTTCATATGCTCCTCCTCCAACATTATTATTTCCATATGCTCCTCCTCTAATATTATTATCTCCATATGCTCCTCCTCCAATATTATTATTTCCATATGCTCCTCCTCTAATATCATTACCTCCATATGCTCCTCCTCCAACATTATTTCCATATGCTCCTCCTCTAATATCATTACCTCCATATGCTCCTCCTCCAACATTATTGCCTCCATATGCTCCTCCTCTAATACTATTACCTCCATATGCTCCTCCTCCAACATTATTGCCTTCATATGTTCCTCCCCCAATATTATTATCTGGATATACTCCTCCAAAATTATTACCTCCGTATTCTTCTTCTCCAATGCTGTTACTACCATGTCCTCTTGCCCCTCTTCCCACATTACCTTCACCGCCAACATTTTTATTTCCAAAGTTTTTGATTACATATCTTCCTCCTCCGATATTGTTACCACTATATCCTCTCGTTCCTTTTCCTTCATGTGTTCCTCCTCGAACATTATTGTTATCATATCCCACTCCTCCAATACTTTTACCATTATATCTTCCTGTTAATGTTCTTCCTCCAGAATAATTATCTCTTTTTCCCTTTCCATTTATAATGTTGTTATTACCATTTCCTTTTGCACCTTTTCCTCCATGTGTTCCTTCTCCAATTCCATTGCCTTTATATCCGACTTCAGCAATATTGTTGCCACTATATAATTCACGTCCGTTTCCATTATATAGTCCTCCATTTATATAATTGCCTCCAAACCCCCCTGTCCTAAAATTATTTTCACTTCCATATCCTACTCCTCCAACATTATTGCCTCCATGTCCTCTTCCCTCAATATCGTGTTTGCTATAAGTATCACTTCCATATCCTCCACTTCCTATTCCTCCATAAAATCCTAATCCGATAGTGTTACCTCTATATTCTCCACTTCCTTTTCCTTTATATAATCCTACTCCAATACTTTGACTATTATATCTACTACCTCCTTTATTGTTATGCTTCCCTCCCTTTACATTGAATCCTATACTTCCTTTATTATACTTCTTTCTTTCACCTCGTTTACCTGCATATCTACCTTCTCCACTGCTTTTAACTTGTAGGTATTCTCCCCCATGTTCTTTCTCACCTGTGAGCTTACCATAGCCATAACCATATTTTTTCTTTGTCTTGGGTTTGATAACTTTCTTCCACCAAAACTTAACCACTCCTTTGTGATGATTATGGCATTCTGGCCCATGGCAGGGAGGTCTATATTTGGATCCAATCTTTGCAATAATACTCGGAGGAGGAAAAGTTTTGATGTGTCCACTAATACTGTCACCTCTTCCAGTAGACCCGTATTCATGGGAGGCACTTTCACTGGCCATGTAATCTTGGTTTGTATGATGAGCTAGTTTTATATTATGGTTCCCAAGGATCTTTAGAAGTGGTCTTTGAATAAAGTATCTATCACTGATTCCACTGAATAACTTATCTTTATCTCTAGTCTTTCCTAAAGCTTCATAATGGTAAGCTGCCTCACTGTCATTATCTTGAGAAACTGGGACTGTAGTCTCAGTTGAGATTTCAAATTCTGGAGTCTGGATAAAATTTTCTGTTTCAGATACACCATTATTAGGATTAACATTATCATTAGAATATAAAGAATGATGATTATCAAGCTTGTTTTTGTACTCTAGGTTTATAGTTTTGATACTTGACTCACTTTGAGAATTATCTTTTTGATAATCTTCATTATAGTCATTGAGTGTGCTTGTAGAAGATATACCCATATCTTCTTGTTGACCGGTGCTAGGTGAATATTCTTGATTGTGATGTTGTTCATTGTAGAATATGGCATCAGCATAATTAGGTGGTCCCTCTTTTTCTTGTTGCTTGATCACAATACGAGGTGAATAGTACTGGTAATGTTGTTCATCATTTCCAAAAGCACTTATTATAAGACAGTTGACCAGAAGGACTTCTAATAATAATATTTCTGGACGCTATAAAACACACGAAAAACACTTTATTTAATAATAATAAACCAAAATGTTATCACAACTAAGTACAAAATACACAAATAACTTGCTCAATTAGAATTAATGCATATTATATTAACATTTGGAAAGATGCTGCGGTATATTTAGAATTTTCTTCTTTTTATTTGCTTTGTGGTATTTTCAGGTCAAACTGATTAGTCTGAGAATGAATGGATAGGTCTGCTGAGTGATGAAAGACTTAAAAGATATCTATTGTGAATTACGTGAACCATACCTATCACAAATGCAGAGATATCTGGCTTTGTCTGACCTAATTAGAATGATATAAAGGGACTGTAAAAAATGTAAAATACAAATGAATAATGTTTACATCATAAACACGATATGTTATATTAAGTAAATACTAGACTGTTACATCTACTAGACTGTAAGTTGACCAGAGTGTTTGATTCTAATGTAACTTTCTTAACAGCAAATACTGGATTTACCTAGAGCAACTAATGCTACCCTAGTAACTGATCATTATCATTGAAACATAAGAGAAGTTGTAGCCTCGAGATATCATCTGACATAACATTGGAATATATTGCTAGTTACATTCTTGCACAACGTGCAGAATTACAACCATATTCATTATGGACAGAACATGTTTTGTCTCCATAGAATGAAAAAGCAATAAATACAGGTAAAATTAAATCAGCTTAATAACTTTCTTGACCATGTTATGTCAAAACTGCACATGCCAGAATAACTAAAGAGTTCCGAAAAAAATACTACATTCATATAAGGAGATAAAAAATGAATAGCATGCATTTGTACCACATTTTTCTTTCCTCCCTTATTTCAAACTTGCCCTTGAGCTGACAATTAATTATAACCAATAAACTACACACACACACACACACACCATAAAATTAGCAAAAATCAAAGACAACATAACCCTTCAGTGAAGAAATCCATACATAACAAAAAACCTTTAGAGTGGATGCAAAAACACACTTATACATGTTAAGTACTCTTTAACAATGATAAATTATATAAGGGAAAACATATTAATACTAATGTTCAATTTAATCAAGATTTAACACAATATAGAATACAAAAATGACTATTTAATCGTATACTACACATTATCAAAATTTTTGAATGGAACGTCAAACAGGAAATATAGTTCTTCCAATGCATAAAAATGAAACCCTTTAAAATTATAATCAATACAATTTCATTTCATAAATGAAAATACTCTTGAGTAACGACAGTTAGTACATCTCAAATAATTACTAACACAAAAAATCCCTTATTACATTAATCATGGATCAAAATGAACCTTTTTCTGCTAAATTCAAATAAAAGAGAAATCAAATGACACTAAAATCATCAGCGGGTAATACAGTCTTTTAGTCCATAAATATGCTTACTTTTGACACATACAATAAATAAAATCAAACGCTTCAAACACATATATAGTTTAAAGCCTAACATAACCGTTTCAATAATTAAAAGATATACATTTTAGTAACATAAAAAATACAATGAGTTAAATAAATCTGTTTTTACCAACTGTTTACACTATGTAGAGTGAAATATGCAAAACAATTAAAATATAAAATAAACCTTTTAAGATAAATCACAACATGAAAAATGCAAAATACAATACAAAGGAGGAATCTGTAACATAGTTAATTAAAACAGGAATAAAGCTAAGTATAAAAGAAAGATGCTAATATAAATGGGGCGTTTATAATGATAGTTTTATGTTTAGGTTGATCACTGAAGTCAGCCATTTCATAGCAGAACAAGCCAACATAAGTGCTCATGGGTACAGCATTGCATGT